GATAACTGAAACTGTGTTTCTATCTGATACCAATTACAAATGCTGTGTATGAATTACCTGTGTACATATAATGACCCAACAGAAGGCAACGCCACACACAAAGCTGCTGTCACTAACCCTCTCCGCTTCCTAAGTGTCCTCGGAAACGCTGGTCAATGAGGGCCGTAGACACGATCTCCGCGAACAGAAACTAAAACACAATGTGTAACTGTAGAAGCTAAGACGATTGGTTAAGACCTGTTCTTCAACACAATTTTGAGGTTTTAGTTTATGGTCAAATGTTATCTAATGCTCATAAGCTAATTCCAGGTGAAACTTTTCGTTCGACCCATACACAGAAATTGCATTATCTTGCACATTATAATTGTAACCTTTTAAGTCTCACCTGAGAGTCTAATCAAATGGTCAGCAACATCAAGAAAAATCAGAAACGACCACATCTGAGGAAGCGGAAGTTGAGACAAGGCTTCTGGGTAAGCAACAAAACCCAATCCTGGACCTGTTTTCAGAGACATGTTTTTGTAATACCTTCAGCTAAAGACACAATGTCACACATTGTCGACACTATTTTCGCGTATATAATATATATTGGGACATATGCACTCACTTTACCATCCGACTGATGCAATTAAAGACTTATTGTCCCTTACGACTTACCTGAAATCGATTATTGAAACTTCGAGGAGAACAGCTTTCAAACAGAGAACACTTGCCATATATGGAATGTAAACAAATATAAACAAACATCGACAACTGTCGCACGTGGTTTTGTATGGTGTTTGCCGAACTGGTTTCAATCACAAGTTGTGCGTAGGATATTCCTAAAGAGGCGTTCAAAGGGACATAACTCTATGGCGTTCGCTTGAAGTAATGTTCGGCCAGAAGAGGGCGCGACAGTCGAGTTAATGCAACGTTGCATTAATTCATTGCAACTTTTAAATTAATATTGTAATCTTAAGACGTAATATTTGGAATACATTATATGCTGGCTTCACTGAAATGCATTGTGTATTTTAAAAGAAGAGTGGTGTGATATAGTGCTGTTAATGTTTACGGATGTTATAAATCTAGTACTGCACTTGTCTTGTAACAGAAACGCCACAGTGATTCCCCACATACTTGCATCACGGATTGCCCCACCTGATGACACGACCTCCGTGACTGACACACCGACTCTCTCGGCCATCACTCCCAGGATAGAGAAGGTGACAAAGCCAGCAAATATGCTCGTGCCCTCCGATGCAACGCACAGAATAATGCTGTCGCTGAAAGTATAAAATAAATTGAACGTTTAGTATCATTCTCTCAAGGTAATTAAATCTGCTACAAATACACAATACACACACTCACACACACACACACAGAGTGAGAGAGAGAAACAGAGATATACGTTCAAAACGCGCATACACACACACGCACACACACTCATACGTTAGCTGGGGAATAGCGATAGGTGCCGTCTGTCCGTCCCATTGCTCAGTAGTTCTTTAAAAGATGCCCTATTTCTAAATTGGTGAACTGGTGTGTTGATACTCTGTATATTCTCATCCTCCGCATCGAGCAAAGTTGCATATAATATGGAGTTCCGGCTCTGCGGTCGTCATACAATGGAAGCTGTCAAAACCGGCAGCTGTCCAATCCGGCAAGTTAATCAACACCGGCATAAAATCTCATTCCATACGTGGCTGGTACATTTTTCATCATTTGAGAGCTCTGCAATCTGGCGGCTGTCAATTCCGGATCTCAGCATGAAATGAGCCGCCCGAATATGTGTTTATACAGTAATCAGCGCATGACGAGAGTCGGCGGGATATGTATTGTCACTAATTAATCCTGGGTTGAAACTACATGGTTGCTGACAAAGATAATTTAATCTTAGAACAGTATGGGTATACTTGTACATGTACATAGTGTGTTGAGAGAGAAATTGAGAAAACCACGTAATACAACAATGTATATGAGAGTGACAAACCTGGTTCAGTTCTAGTCATAGGTAACCGTGTCAGCTCTACAATCCGGTACGCTGTCTAAACCGGATTATTATTTATGTGTGCCGGTTTAGACTGCTTCCACTGTATTTGGATTCCACAGCAGAACCAGAATCGATGAAATATATCTCATATATATATGTCCAAGTACGACACTACGAGTTTCCCCAACCTTACACGTTGTGATGATAACACATTGAATCCATGCTGATTAATACATTTTATTGGAAATGCAATCCATATTCGGCAGACATTTCACTAACGTATGTCGATAGATGTATCACCTGAAGTCCCTCTTACCGTAACGTGGGTTCAGTGAACTTGTTGTAGCTGGATGTTGTCACTACGATGCCCCATCCAGGGCCCAGGTTGTAAAACACCTGAAGACAAGCTTCTTTCCACACCTGGACAATAGGTATATTACATTAAGTTAACACACAGATCTACACCCAGTAGAATTCAGCGTAAAGCCAGTGACGCTAACAATGAACAAGGAAATGTTAAACAATTAACAATTCATTATATATCAGTACAAATAACTGCAACAGAATATCAGCGGAATTCCAATGACAGTATAAAATTACAAGAATTATGACAAAAGCAATAAAGTCAGTGATAATGACATTCACCGAGCAGCACAGAAGCTCAAAACAAGGTAATTTGGCCAAGACGTTTAACTTAAGCTTCAGGTATAGCGATGATTTGATATCCTTCAATAACCATTAAATAGCCAATTGCCTTCCAGTGATTTGCCCACTTGAACCTGAACTTATGGACACAAGTGAGATCGCCTCAACTGCTTCATACTTAGATCTATGCATAAAGATCCAGGGCGACCACAAGGCTGTATGACAAAAGTTATAATTTCAACTTCCTAATAGTCAACTTTCCTTTCATGTCGAGCAATATTGCAACAGATCCAGCCTTTGGTGTTTACATTTCACAACTATTGAGATACAATCGATCATGCTCCTGTTACCAAGGTTTCAAAGAGTCATGCGACTCTTGCTCTGAAGTTGTTCGAACAAAGTTACAATATTCAAGACCTCCAGTTAAACACTAACATGTTCTAACCTAGTTAAGTATATTTTTCAAATATTTCCCGTCAAGGACTGTGGGACGGGCTATATTTTATACACTACTGACAATCAATGGATCGTCAACATCGTACACCTGTACATGTAATACTGCTGACAAAAGTATCGACTCTGCATTTAACAAAGATTTCTTTTGGACGGGGAAAGGGTTATAGACTTGCTGTCTGGGATGCAAACATGTAATATGTAATGACTGAGGCATACATACTTGTCCACTGACATAATCCGAAGGTATACTACATCCTGCACCACTGCTTCCAGTAGATAGTGATACATTCCTGACAACTAATAATTCTTAAGAAACAGTGATATGAACGTCTACTGAATCCCAACAGACACGGTGTAATATCATTTGCAAAACAGCTCAGCTGAAACATAACAGATACAACATACCACCACTTTATAGTATACCAGGTCTTTATTTTATACTGACCTCAAATTACATCACACGTCCCGCGATCTGAATAACATTTTTCACATTGAACATTACTGTTCCGTATCACTGTAACCATTCTCTTTCCACCTTCCCACAAAACACTTTGATGTATACAGCTCTGTGAACTACACATTGCACATCAACCGACACATTCATTCTCCAGCAGCAAGTAATACACTATATTCCCAAGGCAGAACATACTTGTGTTTTAAAGATAACATATGTTGTTTGCATCAATCAATTAACGACATCAAGTCGGGATCCCATGTACCCACAAGCATACTGACAAACAGATATAAAGAAAAAAAGGATTGTTTTGTATAAAATAGTCTCAAAAGAAAAGTTTTATCTCAAACATTTTTACACCCAAGAAGAGTTTTAGCAAGAAATGTATTTGGAATGCCATTTATGACAACTGGGTGTTGTCTAATACCACTAAACACCAGAACCCTTTCCACGTCCACAGGAAATCGTAAGCACAGACAAATGTAAGCTTCAGGCAATATCATGAGCATGTGTTTATGAATCACTATCAAATTGTGGCAAGATAGAGGTTCGCGAAAAGATAGTCGTGTTCTTCCCTTCCGGTGACACCCGTAATAAACATGGTGGTGAATGGCAAGAAGAAGATGACCATTTGCTGCCCAAGAGGAAAGTACCTGAATGTCGAGCAGTCTTCTGAAATCAGGTTTCATGTAATACGCGATGCCATCAGAAGAGCCGGGCAGCATCAGACATCTAATCAGGATGGTGGTCAGGAGAATGTAGGGCAGCAGGGCAGTCACGTACACTATCTGGAACACAGAACAGCTCTTCTTACATCCCATCTGAATCACATCTAGGGGCCATATCGTTGTCATTTCATTTGAGAACCACTGGTCACCTTACACGATTCAGAAATGTAAATATTCAAATAATGTTGTTTGCAAACGTAATTTGACCCCTTCTTCCTTCCTTCTTCCTCTCATACTCCCTCGAGTTGTATTGCCTCACCTTCCCAGTAGCTTTCCTCCCACGAAACAGGCACAGGAAAATAATGACATAAGAAGCAAAGAGACATCCCACCAAGTGCCACTGAACTGAGCCAACTTCATGTATTCCATTTGAAATGCGAAGAACATTGTACCTAAAAGAAATGTCATGAAATCAAAGTATATTTATTCAGTGATGGTATATTATTAAGCAGATGGCTACTTGAGAAACATGATATAATTGCATGTATTTATGTATGTTCAGATTGAATATCCTACTATCGACAAGTAGTCTTTTTGTAAAAGATGTCACAGTAGCAGTATACACATTTAGTGTCTGTTCATGTCATATTGTCATACGATATTCTTACTGAACATTTAGATAGCTACATTCGAATTGCCAAGCAAGTCACTCTTATACTGACTGATAGAACTCCTCCACAGCCGTGTGAGCCAAGGTAGTGTTCCTCCACAGTGCGGCAGTGTTGGTGTCGGTGCCATTGACGGCAGAGGAGTTCGTGGACATGTTTCTGAGAAGGGAGATGTCCTCTACACAAAGGTCCGTGTTCCACCAGTTGCCACACGTTGTCCAGGGCAGTACGGTGGTGCAGGATCTCACCAGGTAGTAGATGGGCCACGCCAGCAGGATGTTGTAGTAGGGCAGACAGATGGCGACCTGAACTATACAACCAATGCCAATACCTGGGGAGGAACAGAGAGTCAACAGTCACGTGTGACAATACCTGGGGAGGAGGAACAGAGAGTCAACAGTCACGTGTGGCAATACCTGGGGAGGAGGAACAGAGAGTCAACAGTCACGTGTGGCAATACCTGGGGAGGAACAGAGAGTCAACAGTCACGTGTGGCAATACCTGGGGAGGAACAACAGAGTCAACAGTCACGTGTGGCAATACCTGGGGAGGAACAGAGAGTCAACAGTCACGTGTGGCAATACCTGGGAGAGGAACAGAGAGTCAACAGTCACGTGTGGCAATACCTGGGGAGGAGGAACAGAGAGAGTCACTGGGGCAATACCTGCAGGAGAGAGTCAACAGTCACGTGTGGCAATACCTGGGAAGGAGGAACAGAGAGTCAACAGTCACGTGTGGCAATACCTGGAGAGGAACAGAGAGTCAACAGTCACGTGTGGCAATACCTTGGGAGGAAGACAGGATCAAGATGCTTGGAAAGAAAGACAGAGTCACGTTTCACGTACGTTGATGGCCTCATAGTTAAATAGCGATCCCTGCCAAAAGCGCCGCCGGTTGTACCATTCCGAATATATTATGAGCATGTGTTGGTTTGTTGGTTTGTTTAACCCTGCGCTCAGCAATATTACAGCTGTATGGCGGTGGTATGTTAATAATCGAGTCTTGACCAGTCAATCCAGTGATTGATATCATGAGATACGATGCTATAGCATGTGTTTATGAATCACTAGCAAATACTGATGATACCAGATGTTCGCTAAATGGTTTCCTACCCTCAGAGATCTTGTCACTTTAAATATTGAAAGAGCTAATTATGAGACACATCAGATGGTGTAATTCATATCTCGATATACCTGCAGCTTCAGATCGCATCTAGGCGACATTCACATGACACATCTGTTTCAGTTTGGGCAAAGAGTCCTAAACTTCGGAAGATTTAGATGTGAATATATTTATGCACTCGGGATCATGACAGATATTTTGATAAGGGTTATTGTGTGTGGTAATGGTGCACAAAGTTAAAATATATTTTTCATCAGAATTTGGGAATATGGGTCTGGGACGTAGACCTGAGATTTCTAAGACATTTTAGTAAAACTGTTGGGATTTTGTGAATCCCAAAAGGGATAAGTTTGATTTGTCTCGTGTTCCTACTGTGTATATAAAATCTACTTTGTTGAATGTGCTGAGTATCATCCTTGAGATCTAATTTGGTTGTCTATTTCGTAGACCAACAATATGTCTCCTTTTATAGGATTTTGATATATCTTCGGAATGGAGGTTAAACGGCATGTGACGTCACACGTGGCCGTGCTGACCTGGGGCGATCAGATGTCGTAGGTGTGATGTGAATTGTCCGTCAACTGCATCTCATGGCACGTGCAACAGCCACAGTCTGGAGCATGCCAATTGCACGTTAACCATTTGTAAAGTAAGGATTGTTGACGTATTTTTGTCAATCACCAGCATATTCTGCACACGGGCACCACAGTTGAAATTGGCGAATTCGTCAGGTTAGACCTGACCATTATGGTATTCGCCCATATATACTATTGTTCAAAATATACCGTTTCTGATATGTTAATGACTGTAGTAACTGCTTGAGGCCCTTGTAAATTACAGAAACGTTCCCACCTTTGAGGAGAGGGCAGAAGTTCCACACTTGGACCGCCCCTTTCCCAGAGAACTGTCCCAGAGCTGCTTCAAGGTAGAACATCGGGAGACCCGTGATGATGAGGAATATTATGAATGGAATCAGGAAAGCACCTGTTCAGGGGAATTAGGAAGTCTTTATGACTATGGACGGATACTGCGTTATGGATTCAGAGAAAATATAGAATGTTAACTGTTTCAATGATATGCCACTTGTACATAACTATATACATGGGAACAACGTATTTGCATAGATACACATCTGGTATATAGGAAGAGATACATTACACGTCACTTCGTATTGACCCAAATCTTCACAAAACATATCTTTGTAAATACACCTGCGAGAAATGCAATGCTGTTTACATGGTGAAACTGTTGCGTTATTGTGAGATTGTTACGTGACAGTGTTCAGAGTAAATTTCGGAAAAAGCGAAGGACATTAAAGGTTAGCAGGACTTGTCTTTCAACGATCAAGCCTGAATTCCCAGAAGGTATATTGTCCCAACTGTGGATTTGAATCACATAAACGTGCATGTCTCATTGAAGACATTCAATTGTGGCAACTACTGATCATCTGTGAGAACAACAGGTTGTGTACTAGGGCCTATTATATGTACACAAATAAGGCTTTTTAATCACATATTTTGACCTGTTGTTTGATGAATGTTCTTTAGTCATACTTGGACTCATGGCCTGTATAAAAATAAAGTAACCTGTTTCAAACACCTTTTGAATCCAGACTGGGACTGAACCCCAAATACTAGAATTATTTTTTCACTGAGAAAGTGTGATCCCATACGTTATATGTTAGACTTGACCACTTGCTGAATGGCATTGTCTATTCATAGCCAGAGATTACAGATAAATTCCAACAACTTACAATTGTTCACACTGTGAAATGTTTACAGGATGCGTCCTCCCTTGATACATTGAAGATGAGATATGATACGTGCTACAAGATATCATGTCTGATTCAACCAAATAAAGGTGCACGTACCTCCGCCATTCCTGTTGCAGATGTATGGAAATCTCCACAAATTCCCAAACCCAACACAGTAGCCTATCATGGACATGATATAGTCCAGTCGGCTTGACCACTGCCCTCTGGTAGATTTAGGGTCAGCTTGAGTTCCATCCACTGCTGTGCGTCCATCGGGACTGGCGCCCACAATGTCCAGAGTGATACCGCTGGTCAGCTCCTGGTGTTGCTGGCGAATGTTCTCTGTAGCCATCGTCGACAACAGTTATCTTGGCAATCTAGGAAACAGTATTTTACTCAATGTTATGGACTGATTATCAGAAAATAGTTGACCACATTAGGTTTTACCTGCTGATAAATGCTCCCTAGAGTATGTAAAACAAATGTCATGCATTCACATATGTAGATGTTGGGGTTAAAAGCATATAGATCTCCATGTATGTGCAAGCGTTTGAACTTTATAATTTCACCAGTAAAGGCAGGAGGTAAAATCTGTGACAACAAGCTCAATAATCATGTTTTCTTGCTGCTACTAATCGTAAAAATGGAATAACCGTTCTTCGTCAAAGTTGGCAGACCTAAATGTAGATATTTTAAACATCACCACATGTTGAAATGCCAAATTAACACAAGAAAAATGGTGATTTCCAAAAATTTCCAATTTGGAAATATCATATTTCCAAAAACTTCCAAAATTGGAAGATGATGTTTCCAAGGCATGGAAATTTTTGGAAATTAGGAAGGATTTTACCACTACGTCTTTCAATTTCTCCTTTTTCCCAAGGATCCCCGGCCCATGAGTGTATGGACTGAACTATTTCACGAATCTTTTGATCTGTTAGAGTTCTTATTGTTGATATACATAATGTATCTTGCATGTGACATATTTATTCATGAAAACTGCAGGAATAAGCCATATTTTCATATTATCCCTTTGTGCATGATATCAATACACGCGTGAAGTGATACTTTTTTAAAGTTGGGATTAGGTTTAGAGTAAGTGTTTACTATTCGCCGTCCCATGCGACCAACTAGGAACCAATTTTATATATTAGTTTAACTTCACTCATCTGCATTCTTCTTGTTCTATGTGTCAAAAATTTATATTGACTGTTCTATTTACCGCTAGTATTGCGAGCATTTTCAAAAGTCAGTTTCAAGTGTATGTTTTAGTTGTTATCCACAAAAGCGCAAATATATTTATTTTTTTCCCTTTCTCAATGTTCGTATGAATACAAATTCCATACACCTACGCTATATGGACTATATAACAGTGTACCAGACATACTGATTGACTGAGTGTATTACATGCCATAAAAGTGAACCCGTGCCATTGCGTAATGGATTCCCGTGAAGTAGGATTTTGTTATTACAGTATAATCTCGTTCATGTTGCGTCGGTGTTGTTATACGGGATTAATGATGGCCGAGATGATTTTATACTTGTTTTGTAAATATTTTAGAAATGTTTTAGGCCATTAAGTGCCTGTACAAGCTTAACACGTACACAGTATACAGAAAGTAACAATAGATTTACCCCAGCAATTATATAACTCTTAACTTCACCATAGCCACTGTCACTCTAATGATAAGCGCATTGCATTGTCTGCCTTGTCCCATATCCTTATTATGTAAGTCTCCTTGCCTACAGTTCAACTTTATTTTATCAAGCAGTTATCAGATACTACTCTTACAAGTCAGAGGTCCTACACGTTATGCTGAGCGAATAGTTTGGTTTTTTGTGGAATGAGTGACTGTGGACCTCACTTCTATTTATGTATCTATAAGGTCAGTTTGTGTTTTGCTTTCATATTCATGTATTTATATATATGTCTGTATAGTTGTATATGAATTAAATGCATTAAGTTAAGATAGATATCTCTGTTGAACCAACACATAAACTTGCCATTGAGTGTGTGTTATTGACTAGTAATTCATAATTAGTATATAAGCATATTTAAATGTTCAGATATTCTACCAGCTTTGAAGGTAATATAATTTCTCTTTATAATCCATGAACTTATGTCCTGTATTTGTATTGCCATTTTTCCTGGTTGCTCATCATTGTGTAACATTTGTAGAATATCCCGATTGGACACTGTCAACTTAATCGCTGCCAGCTCATTGCCACACAGTGGTAAGTCAGGTGTACATATTGTATATATTGACTGTATATCTTGATGATTTGTGGAGACAGTAATGTGTCGGGAACCTAAGTATACATTGTAATCTGTACGAGTTAATCTTTTCAGTTTAACTGTATCTACTGTTCTACTTGTACATTAGTCATGTATAATTCTTAGATGTTATGTGATATGGCTGGTGTAATTAATTTATCAGATATTTTAATATTATTTTTATATAATATTTACAGAGCTGGAAACTGATTAGTGTTTACACAATAAAGAGATTGCTGTCGACTCACAACCCAGTAGCTGTTCCGCATTATTCTTTCTACTGGAAACTCGTCCGCTACTACATTTTGGAGCCCCCAGTGAGGATCGACAGCATGGAAGAACACAGCCTGAACATTGAGGGAAGTAGAAGTTGATGTTCATTATCAGTCATCTTGTTAGTTGTAACTTCCAGATATCAGCTGTGACTTTAAATGTGTTATACACTTGAAACATGGCAGTTTGACTCTGCATTACTGTGACTGATCTCTGAGAATTGACTTTCTTGATATCAAGGCAACTGTTTGATTGAGATCTTCATTCTGACATTGTGTCGTGGTGGTGAAATATTTACATGTGGGAAGTCACCCTTCTGACAAGAGACATTCATTAACTGAAAGCCTTCACTCAAGACATTTTTTGTGTGTTTATAGACTCAGATTCAGCAGCACTTTTGTCGACTCCTTCGTTATTTACTCGACATGCTTTAACCATTAATTGTTGCACAAGTAGATTCACAAAATTCATTGATGGATATATTTACATACTGTTTGCTATGTGTCTCTGACTGGTCATATCTGTATTTGCATATGCTAGGTGCTATATAGGCACCATCCGGTTGTTGTGACATTTCTATTATAACACTATTACCTATTGTTGGTCATGATAAGAACACTTTCTAAATGGACTTGTGTATTCACGATAGCCAGATGCTGATTGGTATTCACTGACTAAGGCAATAGTTGACTGAATAGAACTGGGTATCTGTACATTTTCAGTGATTGAATTGCTCAGGAGTGTGTTGCACTGCATCTGTATTTGCACTTCACATTCCAACTTTAGCTGAAAGTGTACTTTCCTTACACTATTTATTGTATGATTAGCCTGATACATCTTGTAATTCTGCTGTAGTATATTACGTTTGTTTCTCAGCTACCTCTTTTTGCCACAGGCTAAATGTATAATTCTCCTTTGTAACCATGTAATCAGGAGATTATATTTCTTCGCCATTGTTTTCATGTTTATTCAGTATTGTAACTATTCACTGAAGTGCTGAGTGGGTAACTGTGCAAGGTTTTGGTCATAACATTTACAATATCTAGGGCACTATTTGTTTTTTTGTCAACCATGGCTGAAGGTGGCATGTCTCAGGAAGACATTGATCAACTGGTTAAAACCCTGAATGTGCTTAAGTTGAAACCCAAGTCAGACACTCCTGAGGATTTCATGGCTTGGATGCATGAATATATGGGCATGGCTAGCACTGAGGTCAAGGTAGAATCAGATAGCACGGGGAAGCCAGAGGTTCAGTTTAAACCCAGTTCTGTGTTAAAAGTGGCAGATGTTCCACGTTTGCCCTTCTTTTCTGGTGAGACTGGCAAGGATGTAAGCTATGACCTATGGCGGTATGAAGTTAGGTGTCTTTGTCAGGACAAGCTCCACTCAGACGATACCGTGAAGCAAGCTATCAGACGATCTCTCAAGGGTCCAGCGGCCAGGGCTTTACTTAGGTTAGGAGCTCATGTTGATATTATCACTATTTTGGCAAAGATGGATAGTATCTTTGGGGATGTTAACACGGCTGAGACCCTCCTAGCTAAGTTCTATTCCGCAAAGCAGCTTGATTCAGAGTCTGTTGCATCTTGGGCACTGCGTCTTGAAGATCTCCTTGGCCAGGCTGTGGATGCTGGAGAAGTACAAGCGGATAAAATGGACCAGATGCTGAGATCCATGTTGTGGACAGGACTATTACCAGGTCTGAAGGACATTTCTGGCCACAAGTATGACAGCAGCCACTCCTTCAGTGAACTCCTTGTATCTCTTCGAAGAACAGAACAAGATGTTAAAAGTCGGGTGGGATCATCACAAAAGGCTAAACCCACACCTGTAATGGCTGCAGTGAAATCTGAACACGAGGACAAGGAGCTGGAAGAAATCAAGGGATGATCAAGAAACTTACGGGTGAAGTGGCAGAACTCAAGAAAAAAGAATGAATCATCTTTACAGGATCCATCTTATTTGCCAAGGTCAACTCCAGATAATTTTTCCAGTGGAGGGTATACCGCTCCTCAGGGATTCCAAAGGATGCCTAGACAGCCTCAAGGATCTCCTTTCCATGTTCCTACGCCTTCAGTTCAGGGAAACCGTTATCAGAGGCCACCAATGACACCCACATCCAGGATGAAACCAGGATGGACAACTGATGGCTATGGTCAGCCTGTTCCTATCTGCTATCGTTGTGGTCAAGTTGGACATCTGAGCTATCAGTGCAAGGTTCGAACAGATCACCGATGGACTTCTTTTTAAACTAAAGGAAATCCATGGTTTTGGACGTGCTATGGATTGTAGTACACAAAGTCCTGCTGATAAACATGTAGCTAACAAAGACATGTCAAGCCTTGTGGGAAGTTCTTCGGAAGTGGAAGAGGCCATTCACAGTGTGAAAACCAGAGCTTTGTTGGATACTGGAGCCACCGTCTCAACTTTAAGCGAGTCTTTCCACCAAGAACAACTTATCTCACATTCCGATTCTACCACTACAAAATATCCTGAATGTTGAATGTGCAGATGGTCAGTCCTTACCTTATTTAGGCTACATTGAAGTACCACTCTCCTTAACTGGCATGACCCTACAGAGCAACATGGGCTATTTTTAGTTGTACCTGACAGCAACTACAACCAGTCTGTTCCTGTTCTGATTGGGACCAACATTTGAATGCACTGTTAGTTAACTGTAAAGACGTACATGGAGAAAGGTTCTTGCAGACTGCTAACCTCTTTACTCCATGGTATTTAGCCTTTAGATGCCTTCTAATCAGGGAAAAAGAGCTGGTTAAACAAAAAGAATAAGCTTGCGATTG